CAAATTTTTCATAATACTGTGAGTTTAAAGGAATGGAAAAGAAGCAGTCCCTCATATCTACAACCATGAGGCATAAGTTACTAGGGATGGCCGGTACCCAAAGCAATCCCCTTAGGGGGGTTCCCTGTAGCAACATTCTTTCATTAATTTTTCTAAGATACTGTAACAGTCTCCATTTTCCTGAAGACTTTTTAATGACAAAAATAGGGGTATTCCAGGGGCTAGTGGATGGGCGAATATGTTTTAATTTTAATTGCTCTGCGATAAGTTCCTGAAGTGCTTGCAACTTATTAGCTGGGAGAGGCCACTGCTCCACCCAAATTGGGGGTCCTGGTTTCCAACGGATGGGAGGTACTGGGGAGGCAGTGGCCTTTAGGATTGGGGGTGTACCTTCCATCTTGTAAGTGGCTTTCCCTCCCGCATGTTTTGGAATTCAGGGTCCCTTCTATAATTTGGGCAAGAAGTGAGGTTGAACTGCTGCTGGTACTCCTCCTCATCTAAAATGTCATCATAAAATTCTTTATAATCAGTGGTGATAGAGGTGTCTGCTTGTCCCAGAATGTCTTGGCCTAGGAGGATTGCATTAAGTCCTGTGGCTATAAGAGGTTTGACTTCCCCTCTTGTGCCATCAGCATCTTTCCAGGGGAGCTAGCGAACAGTTTCTTTGGACTATTTCCTCCGACCCCCATTATTTGTGGTCCTGGGACCATCCTCCAGCTATTAGGAACTTCCTCCTCTCTAAGGACCATGCAGTCAGCTCTGGTGTCAATTAGGCATCAGAAATTTTTTCTCCTGATCATTTTATCAATTTTGGGTCTTAACCCAGGCACAATAGGTACCATCCAGTTAGCCCTTGAAGGTTTTCAGGCTTTGTTAACTCCTATTAGCTCTGTGGGGGGTCGGTGTGAGTTGCACCCGGGTTTAGGTTGACTTAGAGGGTTTCTAACTTGTGGTGGTGGAAGATGGGGTCCCCCTTGGGATGACGGGTCTACGGGCTGCCTCTTCTAATTTAAAGGATTGCCATCCTTATCAAATTTAGATTTACAATCTGCCTTTCACTGGTAGCCCTTTTTGCATCTTGGGCATGGGGTGGTGAGAGGTTTTTGGCCTTTTGGTTTTGAATTATTTGGGGGACAGCTATTTTTAAACTGTCCCTGTTCCCCACAGCCAGAGCAATGGCCTGTTTTATTACCAGAGAGGCCGTTTCCAGGGGAGGTCATGATATTAAAGGCCTTAGTCATTGCCTCGGTGAGGGTGTCAGTTTGGGCTTAGAGGGCAGTAGCAGTGGTGCGGGCTTGATGGCCTTCAGTCCCCACATCACTAGAGGCGATAATCCACCTTTCTCTGGAGTGGTCCTTTTGACCCATGCAGACCAGTTTGTGATCTGATGTCATTCCCTCCCATACCAGCATTTTAACAAACTGGTCTCTTAGGGGCCCTGGGGGGAATTTCCTTTGTATGCTTTTTTTTACCCTATCAATGAAGGGAGGTCCTCATTGTTTCTCTGGGTGATGCCTGATATGGGGGGCTCTGTAGGGCCCTCCGCAAGTTTTTTCCAAGCTGCTAAGCAGATGGCCCTAACCTGGTCTTGATATGGAGTGGGGATAGTGACTTGCTGAATTCCTGTGCTGTAGTGGTCTGCCACTCCAGATAGCATCCCAAAGGTTATTGGGATAACTGGATTAGCAGCCTGATTCCTCTCTGCCTGAGCATGGCATTCTTCTTTAAAATAAGGTGCAAAATTTAGTATACTGGGGACCTGAGATTACTGCCCTACACAGCATTTTCCAATCCTGGGTGGTGCAGGGTTGGTGTGCTAATCCCTGGAGGATGGTTTCCACCCATGGGGAATTCGAACCATCTTTGGCCACAGCCTTTTTTTTTTAGCTCTTTTAGGTCTGTAGCCTCCCAGGGGTACCAGGGTCCCCCAGGGTTGATATTGACAGGAAAAACCTGTGGTTGGTAAGGAAAGGGTGGTGGAGTTTCCCAGGGATTCCCCATTGGCTCATGCTGTTTATAGTTAACATTAATGGGGAAAGCTTGAGGCTGGTGGTGAAAGGGTGGGGGAGCCTCCCAGGGATCATTTAGTTGCAATTTGTGTTGCCATCTGGCTGTTATTTCTTTATTGTTCGTGGCCCCCTCCTGTAAGTCTTTAGTGAGAGGAGGGAGGGGAGGGTAAAGGCCCTCCCCAGAGGGCTTACGCTGGGGAAAGTCCCAGTCCTCTTGTGACCCCCCACCCCACGTTCCTCTGGGGAGACCCCGGTACTATTTGTTGGCTGGAAGGTATCCTGGGCATGACCTTGTGAACAGACAGTTAGGCCACCCTTAATACGCTCCCTTTCAAACTTTTCCCACTGCTCTTCTAAGTCTAGGGAGGTAGGGGTATGACTATCACCTTTGTGGCCTTGTGAGAAGCAAAACTTAAGGGCTGAAATAGGGTAAAACCCTAAGGCTGGGTCCTCCCCACAGCGAACCTCATGCTGCCGGGCAAGGGTTTGTACACGGTCCCACGTGTCCCAAGAAAACAGGTTGGCCGAGACAATCCAGGGTGCCAGTGCTAGAACGGTTTCCCAGGTCTTGGCAGCCATACTGGCAGAAATCTCAAGTCCTCTACTTTCTTTTTTTTTTCCCCTTTTTGTCTTTTGTCATGTCCGGCAATGGATCGCAACCCTCAGTGTTGCGCCCGGACCGGACCGGGACCGGCAATGGGATCACAACCCTCGGTGCTGCGCCCGCACCTCGCTCAGCCAGTGAGCGGGAACCGGTCTGTATGTGGGATCCGAACCCTCGGCGGGAGCCCCGCCACATTCCCAAACGGCGCACTGTAGCAGTGCGCCACCAGGCCGGCCCTCAAGTCCTCTACTTTCTAACAAATATTTTAATGCCTTAAGGGCTGGTTTGTCCATTTTGCCCGTGGTATTTCCCATGGTGTTTAGGCTTATAGAAACAGAAAGAAAGCAGCTGAGGGTTATCACCAGAAAAAACCTGATGGGACTGGTGATGGCCAGTATTTTGGGAAAAGGGGATGGCCGGTCCCTCAGCTGGGAAAAGGCAAGGAGGACTTTGACCCAGTCAGGCTTCCTCTACTGGAGCTGACTGATATGAGACCTTCAAGGTCTACCAGAGAGTAATCCTGGCCACGACCTGTCAATTGTCCCACACCCATCTGCTTCTTTGCTGAAAGTCACGGAACAGAGAAGGAAAGGATAGTGGGAAATAAGAGTGGGAGGAATAAGAAAAGAGTGAAAACGACTTACCCTATTAGCCTGTTGGGAATAAAGAGACTCACCTTGAAAACGTCCATTACCCCAAGATGGCGTTTCTCCAGAGGGAAGCTCCTCACTGAGGCTCATGGCCGCTCGTCGCCTCTCAAGGCCGCACAGTGGGTCAGTTCTTATGTGGTGGGCCCCACGTTGGGCGCCAGCTTCTGTGGGGGTGCGCCCGGGCTCTTCTTACAGACCCAGAAGGAAAAGGAGCTGACAGGCTTACCCCCGGTGTTGGGACCGAGGGATCTCGGGGAAAAGTGAGCCTGCTGCCCACCAACCCAGCCCCATGAAAGAGACACTCAGACGTGGCAGGGGTTCTGTCAGGGCAGTTCCACTTTATTGCCGTTACACTGCAATTTATGTAAGCAAGCAAGTAGGGGCTTTCCATGAACTGACCAATCAATTAAAGGATCACACAGGCATGCATTTTGTACTAACATGTTGAGCATAGCGATCATGCAGGGTTCACGAGTGTGGAAATACTGGAGGACCAATAAAAATCTTTTGGAGCTATCTTGGGTTATGTCTCCCATACTTCCTGCAGGTGCCATCTTCATCCTCCACGCATAGGCACCATGTGGCTCACAGATAATGTTTGCTCCTAAAAATGAGCCCAACACCATGTGAATGTAGAGAATGTGGAAAAACTTTTAATCAGAAGTCACACCTTAGCAGGCATCAGAGAATTCACACAGGTGAGAAATCATATGAACACTAAAAATGTAGGAAAGCTTTTCACAAAAAGTTGTACTTCAGCATTGATGGAGTTTGGATGTTCTGTCCCCTCCAAAACTCATGTGGAAATTCTCCAATGTGGCAGTGTTGGAAACTGATTGAGTCATGGGGGTGGATCCCTCATGAATGGGTTAATGTTCTCCCTGGTGGGGGGAGTAATGAGTGAGTTCTCACTCTATTAGTTTCTGTGAGAGCTTGTTGTTTATAGGACCCTGGCACTTCCTCTCTCTCTTGCTTCCTCTCACCATGTGGTCTGCTCATACCTACTGGCAGCCTGCCACTTTCCATCATGAGTAGAAGCAGCCTGAGTCCTGTGCCAGATGCAACTGTCCCAGAATGGTAAGCCATATAAACCTCCTTCCTTTATAAATTACCCATTCTCAGGTATTTCTGTCATAGCAACACAAAATGGACTAAAATAAGCATTCATTAGAGAACTCACTCAGGTGAGAAGACATATGAATGTAAACACTGGAAAAGCTTTTAACCAGAAGTCACACCTCAGCATTCATCAGAGAATTCACACTGTGGAGAAACCATATGAATGTAGAGAATGTGGAAAAAATCAAACTTCACATCTTAGCAGGCATCAGAAAATTCACACAGGTGAGAAAACATTAACATTAAGAATGTGTAAAAGTTTTTAGTGAAAAGTCATACTTCAGCATTCATCAGAGAACTCACAGGTGAGAAACCATATTAATGTAAAGAACGTGGGAAAACTTAATGAAAAGCTAGACCTCAGAAGGCATGAGAGAACTTTCACAGATGAGAAACCATATGAATGCAAGTGTGAAAAAGCTTTTAATAAAAAGCCACATCTCAGCAGCCATCAAAAATTCACATAGGTGGGAAACTGTGAATGTAAAGAATGTGGAAAAACAGTTTACTGGAATTCACCATAATAGACGTGAACAAATTCACACATGGGAAAATCTCAACTTATGTAATGACTGCTGGAGAAGGTTTTGCCATAAATCACGTCATGTTTCATCACAGAATTCACATCAAGAAGAAGCCCTATAAATGCACAACTGTCCCTTGGTATTGGAGAGTGGTTCCTGGAGCCCCTGTTGATGAAAACACTTGCAAATGATGAAGCCCCTTCTATAAATGGCATACTGTTTCAATATTATCTATGAACTTTTTTCCATGTCCTTAACATCTTGAGTCAAATATATTACTGAATACAGAATTCCTTGTAAATAGTTATACTGTGTTTTTACTTGTATTATAGTTTTTTTCTTTTCATTTTTGTAATTGTTGAATCAGCAGATGTGCAACCCTCAGATATAGAAGGAGGTCAATAATTGTGAAAACATCTTTTTTCAGCAGTTAAAGGGCTGGCCATAGTGTACTGTTGGTTAGAGCATGGTGCTGATAACACCATGGGTCCCTGTACTGGCCAGCCACTGGGGGGAATGGAATACTACTCTGCTATAAAAAAAGAATGAAATACTGCCATTTGCAACAACATGGATGGACCTAGAGAGAATTATATTAAGTGAAACGAGTCAGGCACAGAAAGAAATATCACATGTTCTCACTTATTTGTGGGAGCTAAAAATAAACAAGTACACAAATAACCTGGCGTGGAGGGAAGAAACAACAATTACAATTCCTTGAAGTTGATACGACAAGTGAACAGAAAGGTTTTTGGAAGGGAGGGGGAGAGGAAGGAGGGAAGGAGTTTTCGGTAATGGGTGACAATAATCAACCACATTGTATATCGACAAAATCTAAAAAAAAAAAAAAAGTTAAAATGGAAAATATTGTTATATATATTTCACCATATTACAAATAAATGAAAAATTTTTAGAAAGTAAAGTAAAAACACACTGCAGCAGGCATGAGATAATTTACACGGGGGAAATTCTGCATGGATTAGATGGGGTACATATTTTCTACAAGCACCTTTTTTGTCTTGTACACATGCCTGCAATCTCAGCCTTTAATTATTGTGTGTGGAGTCATGTAATTTATCTGTGTTCAGGGGAGTATGGATACAGATGATAAACTACTTCTGGGCCAGGCAATAAAAAAATATGCAATTGTCCCTGATTTCTCATTCTCTGGGACAGAAGGACAGATGAATCCTAGGGTAGAGTCGGGGGCCATAGGTGGGAGAAATTTACCATACTTTGAGACAGACTGAATTGAAGAAACCATAGTTCTTTCCAACTCTATCCCCAAATCCTCTATTCATACTTTATGTAAGAAGTGCCATTTCATGTGTGATCTCTTTGTGTTACAACACAAGTAGCCCACTGTACTGACTTTATGAACTTTCTGAGAGAAGTTACCAGTTCTTGAATGTGAGAATATTCACACAGAAGAGAAACCTGTATTGTCACCTTTTACACCCAAGTCTTCTTATGGGAAAATTCAGTTATGGGGAGAAACAATGGAATACATACAGAACACCTTACCAGGTAGGGACTTCTCATTGAATAGTGACAATAAGTTTATCTTCATCAATGTCTTTAATGTGTCAAAGCTTTCAACATAACTTTAATTTTTATATATCAGGTAATTTGAAATGAAAACTCAATTTATGTAATGTGAAGGCAAATTTTCAAATAGAATTGATAAATGTAGGATCAAAACTATTTAAAAAGTTTTGACTAACAACAGTTAAATATGAGTGGTGATATTGCCTGACGGGACATTTGGCTATGTCTGAAGACATTTTTGTTGTCATAACTGGAAGTTAAAACGTCTACTGGAAAGAAGCCAGAGATGGTGCTACACAGCATACAATGCACAAAACAGCCCCACGTATGCTGCATTTATGCATATAAGTATTATTTGTTAAAAATTTATCTTGATAGAGGCCAGCACAAGTATGGATAAGAAATACCTATACATAGGATAATAGTGTGACTTACATCAGAATTTTTTATTAGCCTCTTCATTGTTACAAATCATACTTATTCTTTATGCCCCTTATCCTTCCTCTCCCCCTTCTAGTCACCATAGATTTGTTCTCTCCATCTGATAGATTAACTGATCCTCTGTTGGTTTGTTGCATAGATCATCTGTCCTGTACTGAGACAGATGTGGTCAAGTCCTCCTGTGTTATCATAAATCAGATATTTCTTTTACTCTGAGGTGTGCTTTGTGGAGAGAGGTTTTTTTTCTGTCTCCACTGGTGCCTCTCCTTGTGTCAATGCAGTTGAGAGTCTGGTGTATTGTGCACAGTGGCTGTGACTGCTGCTATAGAGCGTAGCTGCTTTTGCAGTAGCCATGGCAACTGTGGCTATGTGGGCTACCTGCATAAAAGTGGTGTTTTGGGTGTGTTCTTTATGTGATTGTGGCTGGTTCGGGTTCCTCTGACTCCATGCCATAGTACCCTGGTGTGGCCCAGGGTGGTGGTGGTGGCTTTCCTAGTTATGGCTTGGTTCAGCTTTCCCAAGCTCCAGGTCTCTGGACCCTGGCAGGGCCCAGACAGTGGCAGCTGTTTGCCTAGTTATGGCTGTATTCAGCTTCCCCTGGCTCCATGCCTCCTCCTAAGATGTGGAGCAGTGGGGGAGGAGAAATGGGAGGGAATATAGGGTGGGAAGATGGGGAATGAGGTGGAGTATGATTGAAACCTGTGGCCTCCCTCATTCCTTCATGGGAGGCCAGGGGGCTTCTAGCAGTGTCTGGGTTGTCACTGTGCTGGATGCAGATGTCGGGGGGTGGTGGCTAAAGCCCTCAGCCCCCAAATGCCCCAGCCCAGGAGCCTGGGGTGCTTCCTACAGCAGCTCACCGGTTGTCCCTGGGCTGGTTTTGATGTCCAGGGGATGTGGCTGAGGCCCTTGGCACCCATTGCCCCAGCTTGGGAGACCAGGGCAATTTTTGTGGTGACATGATGGTCATCACTGGGCTGTTTGCAGATGTTGGGGATATGGCTAAGGCCCTTGGCCCTCCACCATCCCAGCTTGGGATCCCAGAGGACTACCAGCAGTTGCTTGGTGGTCATCACTGGGCTCATTATGGATTTGGGGGAGGGCATGGCCGAAGCCCTTGGCACCCCACAGCCCTGGCTTAGGATCCCAAGGTGCTTCCTGCAGCAGCTCTGTGTTTATCACTGGGCTCATTATGGACATCAGGGGGACGGTTGAGACACTTGGTCCCCCACAGCCCCATCTGAAGAGCCCAGGGTGCTTCCTGCAGTGGCTTGGTTGGATGCAGATGTTGGGGGGTTGTGACTGAGGCCCTTGGCCCCTCAGTACCCTGGCTCAGGGGCCCAGGGTGCTTCCTGTGGAGGCTCAGTGGTCATCACTGTGCTGGTTGTGGATGTTGGGTGGGTATGGCTGAGGCCCTTGTCCCTCCCACCTCCTTGGCTGGGAGCCCAGGGGCTTCCAGTCCTTCTAGATTTTATAGATGTTCTTTGGTGGTGTTAGCCCTTTACTAGTAAAGATCAAACTTTGTCTCTGATCTGCGGACATTTTATTTCTTTCACTTCTGTGTTGGATTACTCACTGTTCCCACCACTTAAATTCTGCACTGGAATTAATTTGTTGTCTTTGGCTTACTTCTAAAATGGAGGAACTTCCCATGGGGACCAGCACTTGAGCCCTGTGGTTTAGCTAAATTGCTGCTTTGCTTCTGATTCCCTGGGGAAGGCTTTCTGTGCAGCTCAGGTTTTAATGGTTGACTTTGTATGTACTTCCTGGTCTCATGAGGTCTGGTTCACCTGGGTTGTGTGTAAACTCTGGTCTGGGCCAGAGTCTTTTCAGCAAACTGCAACCCCAGCAATTCTGTATTACTGATCAGTCTACACTGAGTGATCCTGTGCTGATTGGAGCAGATTAGCTGTCTATGCTGTGCACCAATGTTCCCCTGATGGGCCATCTCCCCAACAGCCCACACTCCAAACACTTCCCATAGGACAGGCCATGCACTGGTTCCTTTTCACGACTCACTGGCCTCTTAGTGGTTACTTTTTTCTGTTGTCTGTGGCTCTTCACTTGTATATGGGTCCACAGAAACCCTGTTAGTGGTCTTGCTGGCCTGGGTGCCACTAAGTCCTCCCCTGCCAATTTCAAGCAACTTCATACAAAGGGCACAGCTGTGGCTTTTGACATCTCTTGCTCCATGTGTTCACAAGCTCCAGCCTTAAAGTGGCTGGGGCTCAAAATGGTGGGAGTGATCCTTTCTCTCATGGTTTCTCCTGCCTTCATGAACTCCATATGTCTTTCCTCCTCTTCCCCTGAGCTCTAGCAGCCCCACCTTGGCTGTCATTGCTTTTTAATGGTTGTAAATTCGTTGATTTGCAAGACAGAGGGATGCAGGGGACTATCTATTCTGCCATCTTGACTGGCTTACCTCAGAATTTTTGATATTAAATGCCACTTCTATATATTTTGTTAAATTTATTGCCTAAAGTACGTTGCTTCTTACTTTACTTCTACTCTCCTATTGAGATTTATATGTAGGAGATTTTTAGGAAACTTGTGTGGCCATTATTACAAAACTATCTCAAGTAAATGTATTTTTTTCTAATGTTTGAAGCTAGCACAGAGCCAGTCAGTGGGTTGAGTAGAAATACTTCCATGAGAATGCACAGATCAGGCACATAACTGTTAAGAGATTAAATCTGCAGTCATTTACACTGCTATGAACAGTAGTATTTATCGTATTCTATTTAGTGAGAAGTAGTGTCTGGAAGGAAGATGTATCCTTTATTCCTATTCCTCATATTTTTAAATGTGACCACATAATAGATATGATTATGTACCATGTACTCTGTGCTTCATGAATATCTTGTGTTTATATCTGCAGTGATGGAGTGCTATGTTTGTATCTTGCCACTAAGAGGGGCAACAGAGTAAATTCCAGTTTTACTTTTGTATTACCTTGTGCATGGTTCTACTTGCACATAGGTCTGCAGACCTAGCACTGGCCCCAGAGCCTGTTTTCACTGAAGGAGCCTCCTGGAGTCTGCAGTGTCCCCTTCTCTGTCCTCAGAGCCCTAGTGAGGGGAGGAAACCCAGGCCTCAAGGAGGAGTAAAAGTGAGTAAGACAAAAGGGTCCAGCACAGAGCCTGAGGTGTGGCTGAATGCAGGTGTTCCAGGGCCCTGTTGGCCACTTCCACTGGCACCCTTCTGT